TGGGCCAATACAGAGGCCAGATGAGGGTGTGGTAGGCGTTGTTCTGGTTGCACTCCCATAGTAAATGCCGAACATGGGGGGAGGGGGCATGGTGACGCGCATAGGAGCGGTTTCGGTCGTGCCAGCCACCTGCGCCCGACCCCGTCTCCGATCTTCCTGACCGTGTCTTGGCACCGGGCCTAGGTGGCTGAGAGAAGAGAGAGTGCGGTAGATGCTGCGCAAGTCTATTATCACTTCAAGCTAATTCACGCGCAAGTTACCAGCCCTGCGCCACCCTGTTGTGGAGCATACGGTAGACATCGTCGAAATCAACGGTCGAACTGTCGGCAGTCCTAGGTCCCCAGTCCACCATTTGATACGCATACGATGATTGAGAGATTATGCGCGAAAAGACAACATTACCAGTTTCCATGTTACCTTTTTTGTCAACTTACTGTTAACTGGGCGAAAGGGGAGTCGTTGAGAAAAACCCTAACTTTCTTAGCGCAAAAACTCAGTCGAGCCAAAACACCTTTGAAAGCACGACCAGCGACTGGTTATCCGCCCGAATCGAGGACCCATTTTCTTTCCACTCACGCCTCGGTGAAGACCGTTCTGCTATCCGTCATCGCCATCGCAGTCAGTCTGACAAGAAGGCACTGGCTTCGTTGAATTTCTGCGATCTCAAAAAGACATGTGAAAGAAACCCGAAGAAAACGGTGCTATTGAGATAGAGTGAGCGAGGCGGTCTATTATGGCCTGAGATATACTTACCTGAAAATGCATGATGAATATTTATAGCAATTTTATACCTAGTCCTCCTATCCTCCGGCTTGACACACTTCAGACAACCCAACAGACTTGCTGAGTGAGGTTGTGTACGACTTAGGATGAGTCCAAATCTGGGTCCTACTCGGTTAGGTTTGATGGCATGAGCTACCAGCCACTGATAAGAAATAAATTAAACTACAAGTTGGCAGAGCTGACATCAGACGTGGCGCAGATTACTGGCGAAGGAAGGAACGTGTCCGCAGTCTACAAGACAGCATTTCGCCCAGTTCGGGTTCGCCTACGTCACGATAAATAACTCGCCCTCAAGTGCTGGCATGCTTGTACACACTGACGAGACGCCAGGATAAGTCAGCCACGAACAGAAGCCATTTGTGGTCCGGGCATGTGACTAGTGGAAATGATAACCTCCTCCCCCCTAGTCACAGCAAAGCCATTTCTGCCAGTTGACTTATAGTGAATGAACAAGACAGCAATGTGCGGGAACTGAAGGTCCAGGGTGTGGGGGGAGACTTTGTTCAAAAAAGAGACGGCGTAGAGGATGTTGTGGTGCTCGACAAGAGGGGAAGAAAAACGCAGAACTTGGAGAGTGGACTAACCCCAATCAATTAATAAACACAAAAATAAATCGCAGCTGTATAGGGTCACCCTTCATCACAGGTTCAAAGGGGCTGAAAAGTGTATGGCGGCCTTTTGGAAACAATTCATGTGCATAACTAACAAGTTGCTACGACTCAGTTAGCCGGAGACTTTCGAGCAAAACGTATATCTGTGAGACCCCCCACACAAATACAGAAACCATGATAGTTCGACCATCGTTTCCGACCAAATCCAGCGTGTATCCCCCAAAACATGGTAGACAAAAGGACGGCGACTTGTGCTTGAAATAATTTATTGTGATAAAGGGGTGTCCAGTTAGGGGATACAGCATGCAGGATTTAGTAGTTCATACCACTTGTCTCGCGGTCTTCGGCTGGCACCCAATCCTAAACTGGGGCTCTCCGAAAAGAAGCTCTGATTAGCGGCCAAAGCACGGTGACTGCTTTTACTGGCGTGCTAAACCAGACGAGGGTATCCAGTGCGGTGTGTGTCCCTACAACAAGTAATTTTCCTCCCCGTTCTAGTCCTTCAATCCGCCTCTTCACTTTCAGAAAGCCCTACGGAGAGGGGCGACATGCAATTCCGTAGGCGGTGCAGTCAACTAGTGTCCTTAGTCCACTAAATTAAGCCGTGACCTATAGTGGAGTTCGGCAGCTGTCTCGAATGCCTAAGCTGGAAAGACGTCATCTTCAAATATGGCGTAGTTTGTAGATGCAAAATTTGGCGTAGAAAGACCCTCAAAACAAGTAAAAAACACCGCTTTCGTCTCTTCCATCG